TTCTCTTTGTGGTGGATTGTTGCCCCCCTTTTCCAGACAATTCGTTTTCTATGTTGGTTTATGCGCCAAGTTTACTCCTAGAGCTCTATGTGTGACGATGGGCTGATCTTGATGTCTTAGCAACATGTCTGGTTCCTTCTTTCATTCCGGTCATTCTTCGATTGATTCCACCAACGACTCGACGCAGAGCAACAACTCCCGCATCAGCCTCCGATCTACCAGCATAAGTAACTTCTCAAAAATCGAATACAACAAACAAACCCCTCCTGACAGCACAGAATTCCTCGCCCCCGTCAATTTCGACGATCTCCAAAACAGCATAACAGAGCCGAGTCTCAGTCACTTTCCCACTCCTGGACAGGCCGGGGCTGGGTTTGAGCCAAGGCTTCCGAACAATAGTAACGATAATGGCACGACTACTAGGTCAAGGAGCAATTCCGTTCGGAGGAAAAGCCTGGTCAACGGTTCTATCGAACCAGGTTCGGCTCGAGCTCCAGCTTCAGCCACGGCTGCTCGAAGCCGTCGCCAGAGCCTCGCCCAACCTACAGCCACAACCACAACTACTTCGCGCGCTCCTCGAAAGTCCATCGGCCCTGGCTCTCTCTCGGCAACTGGGACAGGCAGACGGCAAAGCCTGTCAGCACGAAAGGCCAGTGCAGACACAACACGGATGGATCAAGGCAACCTTCTGCGTCCGAGGACACAGCATTTCGAACCGGCCCGACAGCAGGATGGCACGAAGCTCTCTAGCACTTCCCGGAGCATCAAAGCCAAGTCGCTGCAACCGCCATTGAGGGAACCCCAAGAGACCTACCTGACAGCATCTGGCCCTGCGGAGCATTCTCGCTCTTGTTCCACAAACGCTGTTCGAACTCCAGTCAAGAACGCGGCAGCTCCCATGGCAACTCCATCATCTTCATCCAAAAGGGTTTCGGTCATGCCGCCACATGCTACTGGCTTAGGGGCTCGGACCATAAGCCCCACTGATGCGCGACGAATTAAGCGTATGTCTACGGTGCCATCGGCGCAACAAGCACCGTTTACCCCTCCGACTCAGACAGAGCCCATGCCTACTCGTCCTAGGTCCACTGCGCAATCTCCTTCGCATATTCCTCGAAAGAGCAGTGTAACCCCCTCGTCTACTCGTACTACGCCTGACCCAAATCGGAAATCTTATAGCTCTGGCCTATCTCTATCATCAAACACCACCTACAACTCCGCAAGGAACTCGGGGGGCTCATTGCAGACCAGGCTATCTCAGTCTTCATCCACGTCACGTTTGCCTACCCCCAAGCCTCGTATGGAACATGCGGCGGCCGATCAGGAGGTTCCGCCTGTTCCTGCAATTCCAAAGGCGTACGAGTCACCCAAAGGCGATTTTGACCCACCAAATTACGTTACCCCCCGAAAGCCAAGTCTGTACTTGGACGTCGAACCTAAGCCTAAGGTAGAACAAGACTCAGACACGAATCAAACAGCAAGTGCGACCGAAGATGATACACATGGAGCCAATGACGAGCGAGCTTTGAAAACACCGGATGCGAAAGGGAAGCCATCCGCCGGGCTGGCGAAAAAGAGTTTACAGCCCTTAAAGTTACCGCCGTTGAATTTACTTCCTCTGGGTACCCCAATGACGACGAAGATCGAGGCGTTGAAGGACCGGGATGATGACGTCAAATCCTACACGCCTTCGGCACAGACTCTGTCCAAAACCCCCAGTACTCCGTTAACGGCCTCCAAGGCAAACTTTTTCTCACCACACGACAATGAGGATGCAGTGCCACTTACCCAGGCTAGAAGTAGCACGTCGCATTTCGCCTTGAGTACATCATCAGGCAGTGCGGCTCTTCGGACGGCCAGCAGCTCTAGTGCGCTGGCGGCTTTTGACAACATTTCTGTCGGCACAAGAACCGTTTCGCCATACATCGCGTACAGCTTGCCGAAAAGCACTAGCGACTATACAGCTTTGCGCATTAAAGCTACCGATGATTGCTCTCCCAAGGTGACTCAGTCTCACAAGCTCACCGGTCCTCGTCCCCAAACACGATCATCCGCCTTCTCTTCCAATGCCGAGACCATCAGTCAGCTTTCGACTCCTTCTGACCCCGACAACAACAGCGTGTCGGGCTCCTCCCTCCGCAGTAAGATCACCTTCACTCGGAACCGCAGCAGTTCCAAGCCCCAGCAGGGGCCCGAGTCAAATGGCGACCCTATAAAACATGAAAAGATGCCCCCACCGAAGCTCCCAGCCTCTGCAACTTGGAGTAACATGTCAACAGCGAGTACCTCTAGCCCATCGCTCAAGCCGTCCTATCTCAAATCCCGGCGACAAGCATCGATGTCTACCGCTACCAACCAGCCGATGAGGAACCCTAGCTTCAGCAGCGACCAGAGCCTCGCGCTGGAGCCAAGTCCTTCCAATGAGTCAGGCGATAGTGATGTGGTAGCGCACCGCTCAGCGGCGTCGATATTATCGCCTGTACACAAGATTATTAGCTCGGCCAAGTCGAGTGTCGGGGCCACGTCAGTTCCTACGGAGTCTAATGTAGACGCCGATATACGCGTGGCTGATGAAGAAATGCGACGGCTTGGCAGCAAGCGTAAAGATTTTGAGACCGCGGCTAGGAATCTGGATGACTTGCGCCGCAAAGCCAGTCCCAAGGAGCGTGTCAGTCCGGCACAGGCTCTGCGGGTCGCCAGTCTGAACATCTTCGAGCGTGGAGAGATCATCGACTTCAAGGATATCTACTTTTGCGGGACCCAGAATGCGAAAAAGCATGTTGGTGATCTGACTGCGCAAGCGAACTTTGGCTACGATGACGATCGCGGCGACTATAATATTGTTATTGGAGACCATTTGGCCTACCGATACGAGGTTATTGATGTTCTGGGCAAGGGTAGTTTTGGTCAAGTGGTGAGATGCATCGATCACAAGACAGGCGGCTTGGTTGCCGTTAAGATTATCCGCAATAAGAAGAGGTTCCATCAGCAAGCGTTGATCGAGGTCAATCTTCTCCAGAAGCTGAAGGAATGGGATCCTCATCGTAAACACAGCGTTGTGAACTTCACCCAAAGCTTCTACTTTCGCGGCCATCTTTGCATCTCGACTGAGCTGCTCGGAATGAATCTCTACGAGTTTATCAAGGCACACGACTTTAAGGGATTCTCTCTTAAACTGATTCGTCGCTTTACGAAGCAGATGCTGGGTACACTGGTGCTTCTACATAACAAGAAGGTGATTCACTGTGATCTCAAGCCAGAAAACATCCTCCTCGTGCATCCAATGAGCTCTGAGATCCGAGTCATCGATTTTGGATCCAGCTGCTTTGAGAATGAGAAGGTGTACACTTATATTCAGAGTCGATTCTACCGTTCTCCGGAAGTCATTCTCGGCATGTCGTACGGTATGCCCATCGATATGTGGAGTGTTGGTTGTATTCTGGCAGAGCTTTTTACCGGATACCCCATCTTCCCCGGAGAGAACGAGCAGGAACAGCTTGCTTGCATTATGGAGGTCTTTGGACCTCCAGAGAAGCACTTGATTGAGAAAAGCACTCGGAAGAAACTCTTCTTTGACTCGCTGGGCAAGCCGAGACTTACAGTCTCTTCCAAGGGTCGACGACGTCGTCCCAGCTCCAAGGAGCTCAAGCAGGTCCTGAAATGTGACGATGAGGCATTCCTCGACTTCATTTCCCGTTGTCTTCGATGGGATCCCAGCCGCCGTATGAGTCCTCAGGACGCATTGAGGCACGAATTCATTACGGGGGTGAAGATGCCGTCCCGAGCAAGAACCTATACACTGACGACGCAATCTCCTGCGAAGCGGGCAACGACGTCTTCTCACCCTTCTGCCGGCCGGCCTCTGCCGGAACCTCCTGTGACCAGCCTCAAATCCGGCACGCTGATCCGCAACCGGGATGCTTCGGGAACCTCTCCAGTCAAGCTACCTGCGGGTAAACGCCATTCGACTGTGAGTGGACTACCACCGTCGACGCCCGCCAAACGAGGGACTAGCATTAGCACTACCAGTACTCCTGGCTCAGCGCTACCTCGCGTTGCAGCCCGGAGTATTAGTGGCAAGCCAGACCTCGCGACGGCGGCGGCTGCGACCAGCCTGGTAAGTGCCGAAGAGCCCGACGAAACGCCACGAGCCGGTCATTAACTTGCATACAGAGGACGAAATGAAGTGGGCAGTATCATACGGCTTCGCATCCCTCCCCATTTTCACTTCTTGCATATCTGTAATAATAATTGTTTCTTGTTTTGTTTTCAAGGTTGCATAAACGGGTGGAAGCATCGGCGGTTCTGTCTCCCGTTGTCATGATTGATTTTGAACCGTTATGGGCCCCCGTGTGGTGGACGTCCAAGGGGTTCGTGGTATACCCTTAATTGAGCATCTGCATGCCTTCCGTATGATTTGCATTTCGATTTTAGAGCCCTTTTCCGAGCATGTTGTTCTCCAATCCTGTCATGACCCTGGGAGCTGTCTACTCCCCTTCCTGCATTTGTTTCCTTTGTCACTCTTTCCCCCCTTATATGCCTTTCTTATCTCTTATCTCTTTTTTTCTTACTTCCTGATCGGGTCCTGATGGCCGGTGTTCCGTGTTCATGGGCGGGTCTGGGTAAATGTGATGATGATGCGTGGATAGCATCTGTACAGTTGTCTCTTATTCTTTGGCCTCCCCTCATCATAGTTATGGCAGTGACACGAATGGTGCCAGTGGTGGAGGATCGTGATGTTATGACTTAGACCATATAGGCATATATACCGTGCATATCACCTGTGCATTTGTGTTTTCTGTAATGATGTTATCTACTAGGATTTTGTAGCAAGCTAGTATTGGTTACAGTCCCGCTGTCGTCTATTCCCAGCTTCAACCAGCGGGAAACGATGCTATCATGGGTATACAATAGTGACTGCTTGTATGGCTCAGTATTGATCGGAGTACCAATATTAGTTCTTGATATGAATTACGTTCTCCAGGCTACTAGCTAAGCCCTCACTGATAATAAGCCCCCTGGTCAAGCAGCAGAGGTGTCTGATCTGGCCACAACAGTACAATTCCATTCTTCGCAGCCGTTACTTCCTCCGGATCGACAAGTAACCCTTGATGCTGAAGCAGACCAAACTGGTCCGTAACCCAAAACCTGCATCCGACACCTGCAGAAGTCGAATTCGTTTTTGTGGCGGTCATTTTGAATGAGTAGATTGTAGATGTCCTTGACCTTCAGATTCGGAGGAACATGAACCTTGAACTGCGTCTGAGCATCCGGTGCCCAAAGATATGGAAGCTCTGAAATAGCTATGTATCCTTTGGAGCCACCATGGAGGACTGTACTTGGGACTGTATGACTTGGCTGGCAATCAATGCAGACGGAGGTTGGATCTTAGAGACACCAGTGGTTGGTGCCGGCGGTCTGGGTGTGAGGTACTGCAGTGATGCTATGTACTGGGCTGTTGAGGATGATTGCTTCGCGAGATTGGGGAATGAAGTGGATGATTTGGAAGTTTGGCATGTTTAGTATGCAGTTATGGTTCTTATGGTAGTTACTAGTTAGTTACTAGCTAGTAGTCATGGTTCACGGAGGATGATCAAGGCTTATCGATAAGGGCGGGAAGGGGAATTGCGGAGAAAGAATCAACAACTGAAGGGAATCCGGACTACTTGGCCTTTCGGCTTCCTTTCGCCAATCCCTCCGCCGCTCCCCTCTCTTCCTCTTGCTTTCCTCGGCCTCCATACGAGAGCTTTGAGCTCCATTGATTGTCGCTCCCTATATCCTCATCGAACTTACTCTCTGTCCTTCCTTTCATTCTCTTCTACCCTCCCCCTATTCATGCCTTGATCGGTTGAATTGTTATACACTTCGCGACACGCATTCGTGATGAATGGCTTCGCATCGCACGGCCTCGACGAGGATGCATTCGGGGAGAAGTCTGGGCTGCAGGGCGGCCTAAAGACATTTGATGCTTTTCGTACGTTGAGCTCCGTATTTATGGATCATTTCAATGTCCACAATCATGCGTTTACTATGGCCCAAGCCTTGTAGTAAACAGCCGCGCATGGATATACTGCCGGTCCATGCCAGCGACACCCCGAACTAACATGCATTCTTTCATCCAGCCAAGACAAAACCCTCATACACTGCTCCATCCCGCCGCGGAGGACAATGGACCGTCCTCATTCTTGTCATTTGCACAGTCTTCACCTTCTCAGAATTCCGCACCTGGCTCAGCGGCTCCGAGAACCACCACTTCAGCGTCGAAAAGGGTGTCGGCCATGACCTACAACTGAACCTTGACCTCGTTGTCCGCATGCCCTGCGACACCCTCGACGTCAACATCCAAGATGCCTCTGGCGACCGCATCCTCGCCGGCGACCTGCTCCAACGCGAGCGCACCAGCTGGAAGCTCTGGATGGACAAGCGCAACCGCGAAACCTCCGGCGGCGTCCATGAATACCAAACCCTCAGCCAGGAAGACTCAGACCGGATCTCCGCCCGCGAAGCCGATGCACACGTCCACCACGTCCTCGGTGAAGTGAGGAAGAACCCGCGCCGGAAGTTCGCCAAGGGACCCAGGCTGAGGCGCGGCGATACAGTCGACTCATGTCGCATCTACGGCAGCCTGGAGGGCAACAAGGTCCAGGGTGACTTCCACATTACGGCTCGCGGGCATGGCTACAGGAACCTTGGAGAACATCTGGATCATGGAGGTACGCTCTCACTCATTCAATCTCCCATCCACAACATTCAAGAAATGAAACGCAGTCAATTAATATAATCCCAGTCTTCAACTTCTCCCATATGGTCACCGAACTCTCCTTCGGCCCTCACTACCCTACTCTTCTCAACCCGCTCGATAAAACCATCGCCACCACCGAAACCCACTACTACAAGTACCAATACTTCCTCTCCGTCGTCCCCACCCTCTACTCCAAGGGCGCCAGCGCCCTCGACACCTACACCAACCACCCGGATCTCATCGCCACCAACAGGAACAGGAACCTCGTCTTCACCAACCAATACGCTGCCACCACCCAAGCCCAGGAGCTGCCCGAGAACCCCTACTTCATCCCCGGCATCTTCTTCAAGTACAACATCGAGCCGATCCTGTTGATGATCAGCGAAGAGCGGACGAGCTTCCTCTCGCTGCTGATCAGACTCGTCAACACCGTGTCGGGAGTCATGGTCACGGGCGGTTGGGTGTATCAGATCTCCGGGTGGGTTGGAGAACTGGTGAACCGGAAACGGGGTAGAGGAAAGTCAGAGGGTGTGCTTACGGGGAAGCACTATGCGGAGGATTAGATTATCTCCACCATCATCATCATCATCATCATCATCAATTTTTGTTATTATTATTAGCATTATCATCTTTTGTCTAAGTCTATGTCCTTGTCTCGGATTGTGTATGTATATCTCTTGTGAGAATACGAGGGAAACTGATAGTTAGACAAAAGAGATATGTGTTTTGCATTGCATATTGTACTTCTTTCCTGCATCTTGCTCTTATTATTTGGAAATTAGCACGTCGAATGAAGTACCCGTTCATATGACCTCGTCCTACTACATTGGGGCACTTATACAAGTATCATCTATGCTCAACAGTGCATGTCCCGTCCCGGTATACCATGATGCGCGAACTAAACAAAAAAAAAAAAAAAAACTAACCCCGCTCACATCAAACACAAAGTCCATTTCACCCCAATCCCCGCAACCCACGGTATCATTCCCATTCAATAAACCAAAATAAAATAAAACTAAACCGGAAGGGGACAAGAAAAGAAGAAGAAGAAGAAGAAGAAGAAGAAGATCTAAATCTGAAAAATCTCTCCCATACCCACACCCGCCCCCTCTGCGCCAGCCCTACTATCCACCAAATCCAACCGCCAACCATGCCAATCCTTAAGCTTCTTCTTAATCTCGCGTACCCATTCGACCCTCTTCCGCGCCTCCTCTTCAGCCTGTGCGCGCGCAAACTCCGCCTCGTCGAACTCATCATCGAAGTTTTCCTCGGAGAGGAGCTCCAGACTGCCCCGTGTGGCGGGCTGATGGTGCTGCTGGTTTGAGGAAGCGCGGCCGCGGGTAGCACTACTACCGCTACCGCTACCACTGCCTCCACCGTAGAAGGTGTTTCCGCCGGTGAAGGCGGCGAGTCCGGAGGATAGGACTGTGGAGAAGGAGGAGTGTTGTTGCTGTTGGGACTTGTGATTGTTGGCGGCCATGCTGCGGCGACGGCGTGGTCGGGGGTTCCGCCGATGAGGTCGACGTCGTCGAAGGTGTTTGCTGCTGCTGTGGCGGCAGATGGTGAGGATGTATGGGGGAAGGAGGTGTCTGGGGAGTGGAGGTGATGGGCATGGTCAAGTTCCTCGCGACGTTCTTTCCAGACGCCGCGACGGAGGTCGAAGACTTCGCCTTCGAGGTCGCGGATGCGGCGGTGCAGACGAGAGCGTTCTTCGTCTTCGAGTTCGTCGAGGGCGTCGTCGTCGGCGCCGGCGCTGCCGTGGTCCGTGGCATGTCGTTTACGGAGAGATTCTTGTTCTTCTTTGAGGCGGAGGTTCTCGTTCTCTACGTCTGCGAGTCGTTTGCGGAGGACTGCGGCTTCTTTTTCGATCTTCTCGGTCTCGCGGAGACGGGTTTGATGCCGGGCTTCGGATTCTTTGTGTAGGTTGCCCATGGCTTCGAGCTTCTTTTCGAGGGTCTCGGCTTTCTTGTCTGTTGTGGTCTTCTCTTGTTTGAGCTCTTCGAGCTCGCGCTGGAGGTTCTTGATTAGTGTCTCTGTGGAGGTCTTGTCCACGCCTTCTTTGACGGCCTTTTCTGAGGCGCGGGTCAGCGCGCTCTTGGTGTCGGTTAGCTCGCGCTGGGCTTTCTCGAGCGCGGATTCACTGCCGGAGAGCTTCTCTTCGAGCGCTGCTATTTGGGCCTCATGTGCGCTGCTCGATGTGAGCTGTGCGCGCAGGTTTGAGATTTCCAATTCCATCGCTTCGATAGTCGCGGACTTGGATTCTAATTGCTGCACCAGGTCCGCTGGCGGAGACTCCGATCGGCCGGGCACAGAGACGCTGGCGGTGCTTCGATGCGTGCGAGTTTGCAGATGCGAGTTTTGTCTCTGCAGGGATGCGATTTCTGCTTTCTACATTCCCAGTAGACCGTTAGTCTTAGGAAGTCCCCGATAGAGCCCTTCAGGACCATGTAGAGATCAAAAGGTTAACTCACCAACTCCTCAATCTCCCCCACCTTCGCCTCCGCATCCTGCAACTTCACCTTCAACTCCGCAACATCCACACTAGCCTCCCGGAGATCCTCCAACTGCTCCTCCGTCTTCTTCCACCGTCCCTTCCCCTCCTCCAACTCCTTCTCCAACCGCTTATTATCCTTCTCCAACTCCTCAATCCGCGTCGACTGCTTCCGATACACTTCCTGCACAGCCTCGCCATCCGCGCTCAATGGCGGCAACGAAGGCGACTTCAGCATCGCACTCGCCGCCGGCGACGGCGACCCACTGCTTCCCTGCGACATGGATCCCTTCCGGAACGACGATGACCGCATCTTCGACTGGATAGATAGAGAGGGCTGTCGACCGTGCGCTGACGCTCTTCCGGATGACTCGGGCTTCATGGCGGGTTGCGCGGGGTTTCGGGACCAGGCGACGTGGGCGCATCGGGCATAGGCTCGGTCTCTTCTTCTTCTGCTGCGGGGGCTTCGGTTTCTTTCTTCTCGTCCTTGGGTTGTTCTTGTTCCTTATCTTCGCTCTTCTCTGCTTTCTCGTCCGATGTGGTGGTTTCGGCTTGAGCTTCTGTCTTCGGTTCTGGCTCTGTCGCCTTCTCTGTCTGTGTCTCCTCTACCTCCGGCGCAGCACTAGCACCTTCCTCCCCTCCCTCCTTCTCTGTAGCCGGTGTGGGCGCAGGTTCCGGAGACGACGCCGCGGGCGCATTTTCCTTGGCTGGTTCTGAGGACTCGGCAGCAGCAGCAGCAGCAGCGGGGGTGGTATCTTTGGAGGTATCGACGCTGGCGGCTTTCTTGTTTGCTTTCTTTTTCTGTTTTTGAAGCTGGGCTACCTATATAAACTCAATCCATTAGTAATATATTCGCGCTGCGCTTGAGTGTGCTGTCTCTATAGACAGGCAAAGGATAGGTACATGGGCCCGGGGGGTAGGTCGGTAGCTAATGTGCATTCATAAGGGATATGCGTACCCTTTTCTTCGCGGCAGCTAGCTTCTCAGCCTTGATGCGCTCTTCGTCATCCGCCATTGTGTAAGAATTGCGGAAATGCGCGTGCGGGGTAGTGGAATGGGTAGTGTGTTCTGGGGGATGCTTGTTGATGATGATAGATGGTCTACTTGGTGATAGTCGGATCGGAGGACAGCTTTGGCCGCCGCGGTGCACGGACCAATCGGGGAGTACCAAGTCGCTGGCCTTCACTACTAATACTGTTTGATTACTGAATAGCTGGTCTGATCTATAAATAGCTATTTCTTCAGTCTACTCGTAGCGGATCAAAATAAGAGAGTGAAATGTCAATTTGTAATAAATACAGGAAGGAAACAGAAGAATGACAACGCCCGCCGTTGTGGAACCTGCCCTTGAGCGCCGCATCGAATTGCCGTGACGCAGCACGTCGTTCGCGTCGTCATCATCATCATCATTAGACCAACAGCCGTTCAATTACAATTAGGGGCTTTCCTTCCCTTCCTTCCGGTTGCCGAGTATAACGCCCCTAGCCGGTGCAAATGCAGGTTGAATGCAGCAGACAAGAACACAATTACGCCGAGCAGTCAAAACCAAACGAGAACAAGCAACTGAACAAACGGCCAATGGCAACAAGAAGGGCCGGGTTGGTTGAAATGAAAGAATAAACAGGTAAGGCAGGAGGGAGGGGAGGATTAGACCTCCATCGAGTCGGCGATTTCCTCGCTCATGGCCCGAACGGTGCCCTTGCTGCCCGATCGGGAGCGAAACTCCTCATCGCTGAGCAGGTAGTGGTCGTATTCGTCCACGACTGGATGCGCCGGTTTCGACCCACTGGCTTCCTCGTCGCTTTCGCTCTCGAGTTCAATACCCTCGCCCAGCCAGTAGCGGGCCCGCTTGCTCGAGCCAAGTTCCGGTGTCAAGTATCCGTCGTCGTACGTTCTCTTCGTTGTCGGCGTGGCAAGTCCTTCGCTGGGCGTGTGGCTGAGGATTGGGATCGCTCGTAGATACAGATAACAGACGCGTTTCCGTAGTCGGTTGAAGAAGAAGTAATGAAGACTCCAGATTGCTCCATCGTCCGCATCCGACGGATCCTCATCCGGCGAAAACGAATAGAGGGAGCACTCCTTAAGAGACATATGTTCATCGATCACCCTCCACATTCTCGGCCCCCACGTAGAAGACGCGCCCGCATTGTAGGAACCCGATATCGTCACGGGGGATGGAGGGGTCAGATCAATGGCCTCGCGTGGCCGAAGATTGAACAATGTTGAATCGATCGTGTTCATAACCCTTTTCAGATTCCGTTCACGATGGAAGTCTGATGGGCGCAGCACGTGGGAGAAGTCATAATCCGGATGACTGGCATTTAATGTCGCGATCAAATAGGCAAATGTTCGTCGACTGGAGTGGTCGCTCAGGGGACCGAAAGGACTCGACCGAGACAGGTTGAGCGAGGCGGCCGCGTCCGATGCGTTGGGAGGTGACAGCGAAGCTGAGAGACGGAGAACCGATTCATATTGAGACTCAAGCGACTGTTCAATGTTCTTGTACAATTTCCGATCGGCTCGAGCAGCCTTTGTAGTGTACAGATCGCATCCCCCAACAATGTGACAATCGGCAGTGTCGAAATTGAGAGAACTCGTCACGTCTTCGAACTCGGGCAAAGGAAGAAACTAGAAAAGAAATAGGTACGGTAAGTATCAGGCCACTCTAGGGGAGGCTGCAGCGGCGCAATAGGGCTAGATTGCATACCTTCATCTTCAGCCAAAGTTGCGGTGTAGCAGTCGCTGATTACGATAAGGCGTGATGATAGATAAGCGGAGAACACCGTGGTCGGTGATCAAGACTCAAGATGATGCGACAAGCAGATCAGAGCAATTGTCGCAGAAGTTGGGTTCAAATAAACCGGGGCCGTTGTCTCCTGAGACGTCACGAATCCGGCGATAAGAGTGAATGAGCTGGCGAGTGGAACCGTTGCTACGGTGGCAGCACAGGAGCGAAGAATGGGTGAATTAATAGGTGAGTATGGAGAGCCAAGTCGCCATATCAGATGCAGATGAGACGGAAGGAGATGGAAGAAGACTCAGGGAAGGAATGGGAGATGGACAGCGCGATAGAGCGACGACTGGTCTTGGGGGGGATGGGGGATGCGCGCTGCGCCCCGAGGGGGGAGCCCCCAGTCACGTGGCGCAGGTCGGGCCAGTGATATCACGCACCCACCTCACGGGTTGCGCACTGAACCAAGGATGGCCAACCAGCCCAGATAATGAGGCAAAGTGCGGAATCATCCATTATTCTCCCGGATGATCCGTCCATTCTGTGGAATCCCCTCACAGGAGCCCTTCCTTGGCTAAATGATTGACGACTTCCTTGGAATCCTGAATGTAGTCATGGTGGTATTAATTAGTTCTTGGCAACAAGTCGCGAGACAGTAGAACACAACGCTTATGTACGTCCAACGCCAGTATGTATAGCAGTCCAGCTTGCCCCAGAAACAGAAACGAACATCCCAAACAGTATAAACAATAAAGAAACGCTCGCGGGCCGGAGAGGCGTCTACATAATCTTCGTGACCACGTCTTCCTCAACCTGAGGCGGCATTAGCTGACGTCGACAGAAGATGATGGTATGGTTCGCTGAGATGGAAGTAATCGGTTGAGGGGGTAGGGCGGAGGGAAACGAAGTTGTGGGGAGGGAAGGACAAGGAGGTTGCCGCAGGAATTGATCATGATGTCGGAACCTCGCAGGTATAAAAAGGGGCGGGCCGCAAAAAAGAAACGTAGCAATTGGACGCTCCAAAGACAGGTATTCCGTGCTCATGTTCCAAATAGAAGGGGCTGGGTGTTGTGAAGCAATAGACGCTATCGACTTACCTCCATGTCTTCCAGACTGTCCTGCTGGCTGATGCACCTCAACACATTCTTCTTGCTGCTCTCCTGCATTTCTCCCGCCAGCAACAGCTCATCAAGGATGAAGTATGCCTTTTGGAAGTTGAAGATGATATCCAGCTCGCACACATTGCCGTAATACTTGTCCATCTGCTCGACGTAACGATGCACGACCTCGAGGGTGATCAATTCGTTATCGGTGGATGCACAACCGGCGATGAAGAAGAGGGAGGCATAGCGACGGTAGACGACCTTGGTGTCTGGCGACGACGAACAAGCAAGTCAGATACAGTCCGATCGGGCGAGTGGGCGAGCTGCGGGGGAGGTATCCAAGTGAGGGGTGGAAATGATTCGGACGAACCTTTGTATTCGAGGAAATTGCACATGCGGGTGCGACGCGACAGAACCAGCTGGGTCACATCCTTGATGATCTTGGCCTTCTCCTTGGGGGAGAGAGTGGTGAACCATTTGGCAAGGCGCTGGGAAATTTTGTTTTGTTAGTCTCCGCTTCCAGCCAGGTCACAGAGTTGGGTGGGCCACGAAACGAACCACTTTGCCCTGCCTCGACAGAAGAATCAAGTAGCTGGGGGGGGGAATGAGAGGTTAGCGCATTGCCGGCCGATTCAGTAGCCGATGAGAGACTCACTGGATTGCCATTGTGCGAAAGATAGTTGATAGTGGGGAGGGGGAAAAGGGGGGTAGAGAGGCAGAAAGGCCACGAGGGAAGTTGTGGGAGGAAGAGGGAGAGCCGGCCGAGCTCTGGAGAAATTCTTTGCACGGGCCGCCCTGGTGTTGTTGCCCCGCCGTCTTCACTCCCTTTTCCTCTCGTTTGTCTACTCGGTAGGTGCTATACAAATTGATTATGGAGAGGTAGAGATTGATCAGATAATTTATTGAACGGGATAGAGTCTTTAACTCCAGAATAGGCTTTTTCAAGAAATTGAAGGGTGCATCAACCATTTCGACCACCACATCCGATGAGGGACTCCAAACAAACCGTCAGCAAGCTCTTGTGTATTGAAGTACTTCAGCCTCGCAACAAAACAATAAGTCGTTGACACTCGTAAAGAGGCAATAATGCCGAATCTAAGAAAGGTACTCTAGTCCAAGGGCTATTTCATCGAGAGGGACATTCTCTTGATAATGGTAGGTACCCAAGCACCTATGGAACAGTAGTCAGCGATATGGACGACACCTTAGGGCCATGGTTCTCAGCGTAACTTACTGTAGAGGATTGACTAGAAGGTAGATAGACACTAAAGGATGTTCATGGCAAAATGTGCTCAGTATCTCAGTATACCCTAGTAGTGTGGTAATCACATTCAGTACTACTAGATAGTAACTGGCAGTTCCCTGCTTCCTTGTAGGAATAGAAATGTATACTATCACTAATAACTACTACTCCGTAGCAAACAATGCTAGCATATATTTCAGCCTCACCTTAATCCACCAATACACTTTCTACCCTAACTGGCATCTACTATCTACTACTATCTACCACTGATTCCATTCCATAACCATAACCATAACCACCGCACCATGGTATAGCACACTGCCCAAAATCCTGCACAATTCGATCAAAGAAACATGTACTCACCTCAAGAAGGGAAAAAAGCAATCCTGCAGCATTCCAAAATCAGGCATGTCACACAATAACGACCAAACAAGCAAGCAAGAAAGATAAAAGAAAGAAACAAAGAAAGAAATGACTCCACTCGGCCCGACCCATCAGTCATTCAGGCCAACTGGCAGCTGTCAGTCAGATCACACACTACACTATCACGATCATGATCATAGCGAAACTTCTCTTTGTCTGGTGGTGGTTGTTGAGTATCCTTTTCTATCCTCGCCCTAAAGTCTACTACCACCACCACTACTCAATTATCTGCAAGTCGCATAGTTCAGACACACACACATATGTATATACGCAACACACGGAACAGAATACCGAAAGAGAAACAGAGAGGGAGTAAGAAGAAAAAAGAAATTAATAGGAATAGAATGGAACCACATCTGTACGCGTCCCAAGACAGTAATCAATGATCCCTCCGACATGATCTTCTTTGTCAGGGATATCCTGGACGGGGAATCTGGACTAGAAATGGGTCCCGAGATGGTCGTCGACCGAACAAGAAAAATCCCCCAATCAATATGAAAGTGACACGTTCTCTGGCTCTGGCCCCCAAAATTATGATGACTTGAACTTGGGAAATTTGACAGGGGATACCCAAGTACTTGCAAAGTAACTGACTTGCCATAAGGAGATACATACATGATATTGTAGATATGACTGAAGGAAGTAAGTCAGTGCCGAGAGGTTTCTGCGGTGTAATCCAGGATATGACTATATAAAAAATAGATAAATAAAGGAAAAGAAGTGGAAATGTGTCTGAATCAAGTTAACACTCAACTTGGCACATCCTATACTTGCTACTGACTTCAATTCCTTCCCCTTTGTCCGAATCATCATACTGTTATCGGTTATCTCGCGCATGAATCATCACCCATCTATAGGTTACTCTTCGCCATAAAACTAAATCCTTTGTTTCCGCATCCGTCTACAATGAACCCCTGTAGTCACCCAAACGATCTGTGACTTAGCCGTATACTAGTAGTATGATAGTAAGCCTCATACTCTCTAAACTTTGAGATCAATCACACCCCCACTCAGAGAGTCAACAAAGCCACAAGGTTCATCCCATCCTATCATCATCATCATCATCATCAACCGGACTAACATCCACACCGCACGGATCACAACACCTCCAACCTTCCCACACACCACCTCCATGAACACTCCCATACCAGAAAAAAAAAAAAGAAAAGAAAACATACGACATTAAGACAAAGAGAAAAAGCGAGGATCACCAATGCGCCACACACAGCCACCATCGTGCGGGCGGCAGATTAGGGCCACCCACCCTCCCAAGTCTCCGGAAATAGTACTAGTTCGTAACTAAATCGTAGTTCATCTCGGCAACGATCATATCCGGGATAGAAAAAGGAAAATTGAACGAGGGATAAGCCTCCACCCGAGGCTAACTAAACGAAGGGATGGATGGATGGATGGATGGATGAAAGGAAGGAATAGGATTCAAGACTTAGTATTTACATATGTACTATCCAAAATAGGCAACACCTCCGATAAGTATAGTTAGGTAGATACTTTGTAGTATGTAAGTTAGGGACTTAGTGAACCTACTTACTTTCATACGGCCTAGAACTGATGAAACGAAGTACATCGTACTTTGGGGGCAAAATTGATCCAACAAGGAAATTGCCACAGACAGACCGATAAACAAAGTGGAGACAGACGAGATGATGAAGAGTACCGGTGTAGAGAGAGGACTTTGTCAACATCGTATAGTACTATATGATATCAACCCTACTCCGGGAGTCGGCGACAGATGCATTCACTGAATAATAGGACGGAAATTGAGGCGAAGTCAATCGTAGTACTTGTTGCTAGGCAAGGTAGTAGCATCATCATCATAATCACTCCGGAAGGAATCTCCGACTAGCCCTCAGATTGTACTTTTTGGGGTGGATGTGAGAGAAAAAAGACACCAGAAACAGAAACAGACACAAAACCACGCAAAACAGCAGCAGCAACAGCAGCAGCAGCACGAGGGGGATTAAGTTTCCGAGTGGATCGGGCCTTCTTTAGCGCGCCTCATTTCCCTCGAGGAAGAAACCAAACCAAGTAAAGTAAGTACTTAATAGACCGGTGGGTAGTAGTAGTATCTTTCGTAAACGATGGGAATGGTGGAAAAAAGTACCAGTCCGTAGTACGTATTCATCGGGCACAACCAGGATGATGGAATTGATACATCGTTTTCTCTCGGGAGCGGAAGAGATGGCGATTCACCGGAGGAGTTGTAAGGCTTGCTTTTTCCTCCCATCTAATTATTTTTTCTCGCTTCAGTCTGACGAAAACCGGGAAGCGCTGAAGGACCGGCGCATAGTGCTAGATTTGCTTTTTTTTTCTTGTCCCTTTTTGGAGCAGAGACATCATCGAAAGGATCTACCGCCAGATGCAAGTACTAGCAGGGATCTTACCCCACGGATTTTCTCTTAGCGCAATCCTTAGCTTTGGGCCAGCGATCAATCAATCAATCAATCAATGACTTTCGTAGGTAGTTAGTCAGTAAGTACTAGTTTTGGCCTAAAGTATCTAACTACGTATTTCTCCTGCCCTGTTGAGGGCACGGTCGTGCCGGTCAAGGGTTCCTTTGTTGGGAGCTTTGACTTGGCCAATTTGGTCACCTGCCTTGATCAACTTTCTGCGAATCACACGGCAGCTTCACTTTTTACTACTCATACTAACCCGTTCATTACATGTAGGACACTCAATGGAGGAAGGAACCGGGGTATATATCATAATCATAGTTATTGTTAGTATAGTTCTTGTACTCATAGAAGTCAAGAATAACATAGTCACAGTCAAATCATCTCACATGAACCCGTCCATCATCACTGTCATCAGTGTCCAGCATGTTATGCATGCGTCTTGTAATACCTATGCACCCCCTGCATGACTCCGAGCGCACCTCCCACTATCACCATCCCAGAAACACCAAGTATCACGAGAAGCACCACCTCAAACAGCCCCATTCCCAGGCATTTCGTGGGTATCGTCCACACCGGGTGAGAAACCCAGGAAGCCTTTGTCGTAGCCGCATCACCACCCCTGTATGCTTCTTTCCCTGTCTGCTTCCCGATTCGGGGCACGTATCTGAACTCGAAACGAGTGCGCGACTTTCGCTGGACCACTCCACCATACAGCAAACTTCGGAACCCCTGTCCTGAGTCAGTAACCGTGCACACTGATAAAGATAAGATTCCACCTTACAGCAATCAGTAGTTCATCCAGACTGAGGAATAGCCGCTGGACCCACGCCATAGCTACCACTAGTGCACAATACCCACAAAACGCCAGATAGAACAAGAGTCCTGGTTTGCCAAGATCCAGTTCATCACACAGCTCGTCGCCGTTGATCCACCGACTGCCCGCTTCAATGAATCCCTTGGAGACCTTGAATGGCCCTGGCAAGTTCGTCACGCACTCCACAAAATTAAACGCCACCGTTCGCGACGTATCAGTGGTACGGAGCTCGTGCGCTAGAAGGCTTTCCATAGTGCATTTACTCCGCTCCACTGTTTCAAAATACGATGTGGGCGTTCCAAGGAGAAAGCCCAGGTACCGAAAGAGCGCAATATAGTCCTTGATCTCATCTGGAGTAGGCTGGATGCCAAACTTGGGTAGTTGAAGCCACATAGGATTGCAACAAAAGGTGCTGATGGAGTGGACCGAGTCCAGGGTATTCACCGGTACTCCAAAGCGTGCCAGATCAAAGTAGTCCGGCCTGGTTCGACAGAGCTGAACGATGCGTTGGCGGACGGAGGCATGGAGCAATCTGACCCGGACACTGGCAATGTGCGCTTCGCCACCGGGGCGAATTGATTCAATACAATGGGTGACTTGGATCAGCCACTGGAAGGTCTCGAGCAATCTGCCCAAAAGCATACGGGTGGAGAAGCCCCCCGTTCGGACAAGGACCTCGACAACCCCAGGTGCCGCCTGATGAGCATCATTAGATCCCTCGTCTCTTGCCTATAGTTGTACAATTAAGAACATACCGAGTTTTCCGCCACAA